CAGAATACTGCCCTTGTCACAGAGCGTGAGTCGACCATATGCGCCGTGTTGGAACAGTTTCAAAGCGGAAATCATCCCAACCTCCAACTCCAATATCCTTGGACTTCGGGGATATCTTGTTGATGCAATTGAGGAAAGAGCAAATTGTCCCCCGCCTAACCGCCCCCTGGATGTGGATCGAATTTGCCGGCTCGATGGGAAGGCTATGGCTTATGTCAATCAACAAAAAAAACCAGTCTACAAAACTGCATTACGACATTTTGAATCCCTTTGGCGTACACCTATCAGTGATATGCTCACAGACTGGTTTGAGTCTCGTGATGGCATTCGAGGGAGGAGGGCGGTCTCAACGGATATCGAGGAGTATATGCGGTTTTTGGTGTTCGTGAGGGATCACCTTGCGGCACTAACTTTTGACCCTGAGTCTGCCGACAAGATGTCGGCCGACGCAATCACGCGCTTAGGTTACCTGATCAGCTTACAAAATCCGAGTGAGAAACTTCCTTACCTAACAGAAAAAGGCTACCTAGGCATGAGTCCAAAGCATGCAGAACCCGGAGACCTCGTCGTCGTCTTCTACGGCGACCGAGTTGCCTACGTCATCAGGCCAGCGCCGGAACATGGGGAGAACATGTATACGCTCGTTGGAGAAGCGTATTGCGATGGAATTATGGACGGTGAGATTGCGGATACAGCGGAGAAGAGGAATTTCTTCCTTGTTTGAACTTCTTTTGCCCTTTTTTTGTTCTTCTTTTGTTCTTCGTTTCCGGTTTCTTTTTTTCTTTTTCTTTTTCTTTTGTGAAATGATCTTTTGTCTTAGCAGGAAACGTATTATCGAGGACAACAAGGCTCTGGGAATGGAATGGGAATAAAATAACAAGGGAGTAAAGTTGTGATGATGGTGAGGAGGCTTATATGTACTTCCAGGTCTCTCTGCAATAATTGTCGCGAGTTTCTTGGTGTTTCGGTCGTTTAGATAGGTACCTTATTTACGAACACGACGGATAGCAGAGAGCGCTCATTTTATCTTTTTTCATCTCCTTTCGGACGTTCCCTAATGTCACCTGAAGAAAAATAAGCCTGCTTTGAAGTACACGTCAAAAACACTTTAAAAAAAACCCCCCCTTCGTAACCCTAGTCATCACCGACCAAGCTACGATGCCACTATGGGAAAGTGGATAAGAAACCGAGTTTTATAATTCTATCTATAGCCGTATGCGCATCTACTTGACGATACTGGAGACATAACTTTAGAAAAAGAACAAAAGAAAAGGAACACAACCTGTGAGGACATAGAACGCAGCAGCAGCCAGGTGCTTGTCTTATCGTATCTTATCTTATCACCGGCACGCATGCATCCACGCTATAAAAGACGCTATAAAAGAAGATAAAAAAGTAAGAACAGTTTCTCTCTTGGGGAAAAAAAAGAATATGAGAAAAAATACCCCCCTGAATCAAAACTGTTACGATTCAACCAGAGTTATGTAAGCTAGCTAGATAGACGGACCAATCAGATTGGACCCGAAGGCCCGAAGGCTTCGGGCCCCCGGGTCCGTATCGGAGGACCCGAAAGGCTCGGGTCCACGGGTCCGGTATGTCGGGTCCAGGAAGGCCGGTATAAAAGAAGGCCTTCCCAGGCCTCTTGTTACCGGATCTCCGGCAAGCAATAGCTATCACAACTTACCAGTACCTTTTGGCTACTACTCCGTTACTCTATTGTTCTATCCCAGCAATAATACTCCTGTGCTTGTAACGGTTCGTCACAAAAACCAGCAATCGTCAACCATGACCCGCTTCGATTATATGTACACCCCCTACAACCTCGAATACTACATCGAAAAGTACGATGACCCGTTCCTCCAGAGCGCCGACGACTGGCCCAGCTGAGACTGGGAATTCCGACGTAAAGTGATCGGAGTGCCTTGGCTGGGGGACCACGTTTTGGAAAACAAGCCAGTCGTCGCGGAAGTCCCCCTGTTCTCCCGCCCAAAGCCAGCCGACTATCATCTCATCCACACCACGAAGGCAGCGAACTGGCGAGTGGAAAATGCCAAACGGGAGCTTCAAGCATTGGAAAACGGGGATGCCTTCTTCACACACATCATCGAGACCGACGCAACCACAGAAGAAGACAACAACAAAGTCCCCAACCGACCCCATCAAGAGATCCTCGCTGACCTCGTCATCTCGCGGCGCCATCTCACTTTTGACGGGAAGGATCTGTTGAACCTGGATCAGGAGACATTTGAGTACGAAAGCTGGTGCTGGGAACCCTTCAACACACATAACACTAAGCTGAGAAACTGGATGCGTGAATCGGTCGGTGATCACTACGCCCACATGGCGACGAAGCCGGAGTGGGATACGTGCACTTGGTATCAAAAGCTGCAGGAAGTGGCGGCACGGAATTATCGGGGCCCTGGCAAAAAGGCATTGTACCGGATGGCATGGGACAATTTGAGGCATCATATGGGGTATCCTCCTCACTTCGATGAAGCCCTGTGAGAGAAGATGAAACATAACGCTTCGGATGGAGAAGGAACTAAAGGGACCAAGCTTGGAGGCAGTTAGACTTTCAAGCTTTTCCGGACGGTAACGATTACCTCGTTCACATCATTCGAGCCGCCGACGGATCCCGTACGAGGATCGAGACGCCCCATCGCCACTACGACGAGATCCTCGATGACATGTTTGTGGCGCCCCGACGAAATGGGAGAATGAACTGCCTGACGAGGTAGAAATTTTGCCGAGGACTTCCTGGAGAGTGCAGATTACACTTTTCATGTGCATGGTTGTGTGGGCGTAATCGGGTTGAATTGAGCGAATATTGAAGAGTGACAGGAGAAAGGGGAAAGGAACTACGAATTACATACTGAGCAATAATTGATATTTTGGCATCAAACGTTAGAAATACTTACCTTTGAAACATCCAACTCCCAACCTCTGATTTGTAATTGTCGAGTGTCCCCAGGGTGTCTCATCGGCGCGCTTTTCCCCTCTTCCGATTGCGGTTGATGTGCTGACTTTTGGCATGCGGTCAGCAAAGCGGCCGCTTCAGAGCGCCTTTCCGCCATTAGGTAGTGCTACGGTAAGCATCCGTCCCGCTAATGAAGAACAGGCAGGTTCTGGAACATACATACTCTGAATGGATGATGGTAGACCAATTTGTCACCAACACGGTAGAGCTTGCCCGTTTGAGGTTGCATCAATGGCGCCGTTTCCCAGATAGGCAACCGTATGACGTGAATTTGTGGCCGATCCAAAGGTATAAAGGACGGGGTCGTGCTGTTCGTTTTGTGTGACAAGGGCAGGTTTCTGAGCTTGGAACAAATATTTCAATTCCGCTGATAAACTACTTTGGTCTCGAAGGCCTTGTTGGTCCTTTCAACCTCTAGAGGAAGGCTGGGCTTCAAAGCCTTCTTATGCCAAAGGGGAACGGTACCTATCTAGTACGTACGGGTCCTTGTCACCTGAGGCTCCAAGGTACCTAGCAATCTGCATACATGTAGGTCTTTCTCGTATGACACCAGAAGTGTGACATATGTCCGTATGACACCAGGAGTGTGGCATATGCCCGTATGCCACCAGGAGTGTAGCATATGTCCGTGTGACATTTTGTCTTTGCACTTGAAAGAGCCCGGACTCTCATACGACCCTCGTCAATCAACCTTTATCAGCCATGGCCATCAAGAACTTTGCCGTCATCGGTGTAAGTCTTCCATCGTCCCGCTTGGTGATCTCTCACCCACCGAAAGCACAGTCTAACATCTTCACAGGCCTCCGGCAACCTTGGTCTGTAACAAGGGCAGTGTTCTGGGCTTGGAACAGTAGTTCAATTCAGCTAATAAACTACTTTGGTCTCGAAGGCCTTGTTGATCCTTTCAACCTCCATGAGAAGGTCGGGCCTTAAGGCCTTCTTATACCAAAGAAGGTTGGTACGTACCGAGCCCTGTGTACCAGGCATCGGCGCGAATCTATCTAGTTCATCTGCCTACACGTAGATCTTCTGAATGCCAGCCTTCGTCCAGTTGCTCGTCGGTAATTCCGGTCGGTGGTTTAATTGATGAAAGTCGCCGGCGAATGTCCGTGTGGCATTCTGTCGGTAATTCCGGTCGGCAGTTTGACTGATGAATGTCACCGGCGAATGTCCGTGTGACACTGGCCGAGGCAAGGCTGGCATTGTATGGCGAGGTTGGGTTGATTTCAAGCATTGAGGCTCTATTGAACTTCAAACCCAGGAGTGTGGGCAATGTCCGTGTGACACAACCCCATCACCCAAGCCCTCCTCTCCGCGGGATTCACAGTGACAGCCATCTTCCGAGAATCCTCCACATCCACCTTCCCTACCGAAGTCCAAGTCCGCAAGGCCGACCTGTCATCACTTGAGTCCTTGACCAATGCTTTTTCCGGTCAAGATGCCGTAGTATGCACCATCGCCACCTCCGAGGCCGGCAACCAGAAGATCCTAGCGGATACGGCTGTAGCAGCCGGCGTGAAGCGCTTCATCCCGTCCGAGTTCGGGTTCAACACCAGGCCAGGCAAGATTTCGCACCCCGTCATTGAAAAGCTGCCGTATATGGTGGTCAAGAAGGAGACGGTTGATTATCTGGAGGAGTTGACGGCGAAGAACCCTGGGTTCACTTGGACGGGGTTGGCGACGAATATGTGGTTGGATTGAGTGGGTTCTGCCTGTACTGCTCATTGACTCCCCTGCTGATGATGTCCTTCAGGCCCTTGACCAAGGACTCTTCCCCATCTCCCCTTCCGCCTGCACCGCTACCATCTACGACTCCGGCAACGGTCCCATGGTCGCAATCTTGCAACAGGACGAGGAGACTGCGAACAAGTATCTTAGCGTCGTGCAGTTCACCATTACCATGAATCAGCTTCTGAGGTTGTTCGCGACCGAACTTGGTGTAAAAGAGGAGGAGTTCAATGTTCAGAATGACGCTAACACCTGTAAAGAATCTGTATTACAACGTTCTCATGTCACGTGGCCATATTCGCTTGCTTCAACTATTGCTGTCTGAAAACGGGGATGCCGCAATACACTGTCAGCTCTTCCCCACCGTATTGGACTCAAGAGGTACTCGTCCGTACGACGCAGGGAATTATAGATTTGCAAGACGAAAGGAATGAAGAAAGGAGGCTTCATCGTGCGAGGAACCCGTCCTGAAGAAGTACAAAATTGAAGACATTACGGAAGTTGACTCTTCCCTTTCAGAATCTTTTCTCAACAACACTCCTCCCCGAGTCAGTCGTACCGCATATGTTGAGTGTCTTCCTCCTTTGGAATCTTCTTATGTAATGATTGAGAGAAGTGTGAGCCTATACGTCCAACGTGGTAGAGGACATCGTCGTCG